GAGGGTTAAACAAGTTGCTATTTGTATCTTGTTGCAGATCACGCCTTGCACGTGATAAATACTTAATACACCTTAGCAATTATTGATATTATTCTGACAGTTATGAATCTTTTCACCCTGGGAATTTTCAGTGAGAGAAAAAAAAATTTCTTTCAGTGGCTCACAGCATGATGCTTGGAGTGATAGTGACAAAGAGGAGGGGACTCTTTGTTGAGCTCTTTCTGCATCAGGATCAGCTGGCTTCCATGCCAGTTTGGATAAAGGAGGAGGAAGAGTTAAAGGGGATAATCTAGTTTCTGACTGTGGGTGTCTCACAGCCAGGACTTGGCAGAAGCAGGCATCCTTTAGTGTTGAAAGAGGCACTTATTTTCAAAGAGGAGCTAACAGAAAGTGTAGCAATGTTCCTTCTTCTTTAATAGTTTCACAGAGCTGGGCGTGGTAGCACATGCCTGTGATCCCAGCATTCAGGAGGCTGAGGCAGGAGGATCACTGCAAGTTCAAGGCCACCCTGGGCTACATACTGAGTTTAAGGACTACATGGCAAGACCCTGTTTCAAAAACGAAACAAACCAAACCAAACCAAAAAGCTTCATGGAGGTAGGGTTTAAATACTATAAAATTCACCTGTTTAATTGTGCAATTCAATGACTTTTCATATTTTGCAGAATTAAGCAAGCTCCACCCCAACCCAGTTTTAGGACCCCCCCCAAGTTCTATTTACATTCTGTTCCAGGAAATCACTAATCTACTTTCTATCTCTATTGATTTGCCTTTTCTGGACATTTTGTATAAATGGAATCATAAAGTATGTGGCCTTTTCTGTCTGGCTTCTTTTACTTAGCAAAATATTTTTGAGGTTCATCCACGTCATAGCATATATCAATAGTTCCTACCTTTTTATGGCTGAAAGCCTTCCATCATATCGATGTAATGTAGTTGGTTTTATCCACCCAGCAAGCGATTTGCATTGGGTTTTACTCATTATGAAAAATGCCCCTGTAAATATTCATGTACATATCTTTCCTTTTCCTTTTGTTTCTCTTGGGTAGATGGAATTGCAGAGGTTTGGTTTGGTTTTTGTTTCGAGACAGGGTCTTGCTATGTATTTTGGGCTGATCACTATGTAGTCCAAGATGGCCTTGAACTCATGGTGATCCTCCTGCCTCAGCCTCTGGCTGGAATCATTGTGTCTTATGGCAAATTTCCTTTAACTTAAGAAATTGCTAAGTTGTTTCTCAAAGTGATTGCAAAATTTATTCTTCCTAGTTATTAATAATATTCTTGCCAGGTGTAGCGGTGCACATCTGTCATCCCAGAATTTGGGAGACGGAGGCAGGAGGATTGCCTCAAGTTCAAGGCCAACTTGGGCTACATAGTGAGTTCAAGACCAGCCTGAAATACATAGCAAGACCCTGTCTCCAAAAAAATCTTAATATGGCTGGGGATTTAGCTCAGTGGTTTTGCCACCTGCTGCGCAAGCACGAGGACCCGAGTTCAATCCCCGGTACAAAAACCAAAAAATATTAATATTAATATACTTAGCAGTGTATGTGAGCTCCAGTTATTCTGCCTCCTCACCAAAACTTGCTACTGTATTTTTTTTGACTGATGCCACGCTCGTGGGTGTGATGTGTTTTATTTTGAGATGGGTCTCACTAAGTTGCCCAGGCTGGGCTCAAACTTGTGACCCTCCTGCCTTAGCCTTCCAGAGTGCTAGGATCACAGGTGTGCATCACCATACCCGGCTAAAAACAATTTCTTGGACCTGGGGTATAGCTCAGGGGTATAGCACATGCTTAGCATATACAAAGCCCTGTGTTTGGTCCCCAGAACTGACAGAAGAAAAGAAAGGAATGGGGGGAAAAAGATGGCCATGGCACTCCGATTCTAGTCAGGGAGACAGGCCACTTTTTTTTCCCAGTACTGGGAGGCTGAAGCAGGAAGATCCAAGTTCATGTTCTGCCTGGGCAACACAAGGAGAGAAACCAGGTGTTTCAGCAAGAGAGAATTTAATACAGGGGATTGGTTAAGTGGGGATGGAAGAGTTGAGAAGCTAAATGGGATTATCAGGGAAGCTGGTAATCAGTTACAGCAGAGGAAGAGACAGAGCACCGGGGTGGCCTGACAGAGGCACGTGGGACACACTGTCAGAAACACTCGCCACCCCAGCAGAGAGCACACAGCTGTCCTGCCTTCTCCCTTCCTCCCCAGTCTCCACGTTCCCTCCAGCACCTTCCATTGCTTAACTCTTAGCTTCCCTAACCACCCTGTTTAGAACTACCCCTCCCCTTTCCTCTTGATATCCTATTTGTATTTCTGTCTCTTTCTCTATTTCTGGTCTGTCTCACCCTATAGAACATTCAGTTTCCCACAAAAGCTCCCTGGGAAATGTAGTTTTCTAGACAAGGGTGGGGACAGAGCAGAAACATAAACAAAGTCAAGGAACAAAACATATGGGCATCTGTGGTAATACTGTCCTGGGTAAAAGAAAGCAAGTGCAGAGGTCCTGGGGCAGGAACCAAAACCTGAGAAGTGTGTGTGTGATGGTACCAGGTATAAGGTGCAGATTGAGAAGGGACAGGCACAGGACAATGCTTTGGAGGGAGACAGACATTTAGGGATCCACTTTGAGGAGAACTAGGGCAGAACTAGGAAATGATGCAGTGTCTCTGAAATCGGAGAGGAATGATGGGTAGGGACTGGTGGGATATGGATCTCATTAGTGAGAGGCGTTCTGGAGGCACAGAGGGGATGGAGTGGTCACGCACAATTTTAGGCAAAAGTGCATATGGGGGCCGGGGATTCAGCTCAGTGGTTCTGACGCCCGCTTTGTAAGCGCAAGGTCCCGAGTTCAATCCCTGGTACAAAAAAAAAAAAAAAAAAAAGTGCACATGCGCGTGTAGACCTTCCTTGGAGGCAGAGGACCACGGAGCCCCAAATTGCCTGATCTAGAGGGCCTGGCACCAAGCAATCTTGGGGTCTGAAATCAGCTAGGCCTGACTTCAAATCCTGCCCCCACTTCCTGCTGGCCCACTCTGAACTGGTCCCCTCTCTTCTCTGAGCGTGGTTTCCTTACCTTTCAGGGGATGCAGGTACTTGGGACATTGCAGCCTGCGCTGGAAAGGCTATTTGCAAAATTTTCAGTGCTCATAAATGGAAGCTTTAGCACCAGTTGGCAAGAATTCATTGTTTTTTTTTTTTGGAAGGGGTCATTTATCAGTTGCAAATAATAACAATGGCAGCTCCCATTTACGAAAAATGTATCAGGGCCCAGACACTGCAAAGTGCTGTGCAGGCACTCCCTTCCCCCCTTCCCTCTGGCTCATTCTGTTCCAACCATGCTGGCTTCCTTCCTGTTGCTTGAACTGCCTCAGGGCCTTTGCACTTGCTGATGCTGTTGTTGGGAACTCTTCTCCCAGAAATCCCAAAGATTCCCTCCCTCATCGCCTTCAACTCTCTCCTTAACTCTTACCTTCCCTAATCACCCTGTTTAGAACTACCCCTCCCCTTTCCTCTTGATATCCTATTTGTATTTCTGTCTCTTTCTCTATTTCTGGTCTGTCTCACCCCATAGAATGAAGTTTCCCATAGCCAGCCGTTTTTGACTTGACAGTGTCCAGGATGTAGTAGATGCTCAGTAAATCACTTGATTCTGGGCCTCTATCCTGACACCCACCCCACTGGGTGCTGGGGCTAGAAGCCAAGGCCTCGCTCTTGGTAGGCAAGTGCTCTAGCACTGAGCTATTTCCCAGCATTTTTTATGTTTTTTTGAGACAGGGTGTCACTCAGTTGACCAGACTGGCTTCAGACTTGCCATCCTCCTGCCTCAGCCTCCTGATAGCTAGAGTTACACACATGCACCACCATACCGTGCTACCCAAACCTTTTATGCGTATTAGATCCACTAGTCCTCAGACACAGCCACTTTGCAGAGGAGGAAACTGAGGCAAGGAGAAGTCCCTGCCAGAGGTCACGTGGGAAAGAGCCAGCGTCTCCGTGTGGTCCCGGTCGGGACAGCAGACTCTCCAGGACCCTCGGCCCCGGCGCCTCCCCACCCCCTCCCCCTCGGCGAGCCCTGGGAGCCACCGCCGCGGGAAAGGCCTGAGTCATCGCCGCCTCCAGACGGCGGCGGCCGAGGGCCGAGGGCGACAGCGGCGGCGGCGGCGCGAGGTGACGCGGGGACGCCAGGAGGGGGCGTGAGTGCGGGCAAAACGGAGAAAACGGCGCCGCCGGCATGAGCCCGGGTGGGTGCCCTTTCGGTGCGCGCACTGCGCTTCCCTCTTCCCCAAAGGGGCGAGCCCCGGAGCAGGTCCTCGGGGCTGCAGGACTGGAGGAGGGTCCCCGCGTGCGAGTTCCCTAGTGTACGTCCTCGCCCCCGGCCCAAGTTCAAGATGCGCGTGCGGCCGGCCCGGGACTAGCACCAAGGCCACTTCGGCGCGCTGGGGACCCCAGCCCCCCCTCCCCATCTCCTCGCCGGCCGCCTCCAGACCCGGCCACCCTAGGCGCTCTCGTCCCCAACCACGCAAGCCAGGGGTCCCCAGCGTATCTGGCACCGGGGTGCCCCCTTTTCTCCTGAGACCCGGGTGTCCCTTGCGTGCGCGGTTCAGGGCGCGCTTGAGTCGCTTTCCTGGGCTTGGGCGCCAGGGTCGCTGTTCTCACCGGCAGGTGGGTGGGGACTTGCGACTTCCACGCAGCCCCCTGGCAGTTCCATGTGACAGAGGGGAGCGGCTGTCCCGGGTGAGCGAGGGTTTGGAGAGGGGCTGCGCGCCTGGGGGACCCGGGGATGCCGCGGGGGGCGGGCCCGGGGATGCCGCGGCGGTGGGGGCGGGGCGGGGCGGGGGGTCCGCCACCTGGGGGCGGGGCCGTCAGGGGCGGGGCCGCCCCGTGACGTCACGCGGTTGGAGGCGCCCGGCGCGCTGGGCGGGGGCCGCCTTTATAAGCGGAGCGCGCCAGGCGCACCGAGCCGCAGCCCGCGTCTCCGCGCCCCCCGCCCCGGCGCCGGCCCCGGCCCTGGCCCCGGCCCCCTCCCGCGCTTGGGCGCTTGGGTCACTATCACCTCACCCATCCCCAGGGGACGGCTGGGTGGCGAGGAACGACGGACGGAGCGCCTGCCTGGTGGCGGGCAGGACCGGGGCCGCGCGGCGGGGCATGAGGCGGGGGCGCGATGTCGGTTCCGCTGCTGAAGATCGGGGCTGTGCTGAGCACCATGGCCATGGTCACCAACTGGATGTCGCAGACGCTACCCTCGCTCGTGGGGCTCAACGGCACCGTGTCCCGCGCGGGCTCCTCCGAGAAAATCGTGAGTGGCCGCCGCGCAGGGAGGGGGGGCGCTCCCGGGGGGCGTGGTGCCACCCGTGTCGCCGCTGCCGCCGCAGCCCCGGGGGTCCCCTCCCCTCAGCACCCCCAACGTGCCCGGAGATCCGGGGAGGGGGTCTTGGGGGAACTGGGCGTGGAGGGAGCCCCGGGACCCCTGGCCGTCCGCGCCGGGTCGGAGTGACTGTCATCGATCGGGTCGGGATAGGCAGGGAGCAGCGCCCCGGTGCCAACCGCGGGCTGAGTCCGCTCCAGCCCCGGGCGGGGGCGGCCAGGGCTGCGGAATTGAGCCGGGTCCCAGCTGAGGGGGGCGGAGCGGGCGGGGGAAACAGGGGGACCCTGCCTCTTCTGGGTCTCCCAGGGTCTTCCCTGAGCCTTCGGGGTAGGGTCTCTGAGTGGTTCTCTCCCTCTCTCTCTCCCTCTGCCTCCCTCCCTTCCTCCCTCCCTCTCTGGATCTCTCTATTTCCGTCTTTCCTCGTCTCTGTCTGGCTGTTCCTGACTTTGTATCTCTTTTTGTCTCTCATTTCCTCCCCCAGCAACCCGCCCACCAGCACTCACTCCTCCTGCGCTGTCTGACCATGTGCCCAGAATTTACCCCCATAAGTCGCCCACCCTGGTGGCCAGATGGGGCTGCCCCGAGCCAGGGTTGCCCCTTCCCGCTCCACCTCCCTCCCCTCTGGTCGCCCTTCTTCTGTTTCCCTGCCACGGAGCTAGTCCTGGGAGAAATAAAAGGGGGCTCTCAGTGTGGTCATCACGCTGGTCTTGTCCTGGGGCTTCCTCCCTTGTGAACTTCCCTCAGCCTCTCCTCGCCCACCTTTTGCCTTTCTTGGAGCCCCTCCCATCTTCAGTCTGTGGGGGCTCCTCCCAGTATATGGGCTGGGATGCGGCAGACACCCTCTCGTCTGTTTATAGCGCCCCAACTTCTCCAACCCCCCCTGGTTAATCCTCAGTAGCAATCGCTTCCCTCCAGTCTCTCGCTCACTGGGAAAGAAAAAAAAAAAAGAGTGCTTCCAAGGGTCGCAGGCCAGTGTGGGGAGAGGCAGGAGAGGCAGGGGGCACCCAGCTACTGTGCCTGGGCTCAGCCCAGCCCCTGGGGGATGTGGCTCCAAGCTTGACACAAGTGTGAGCCTTGCGTCCAAATTCTCAGACTTGTAGCCAGCGTGGGAAAGTGTCTTTCTGTGTGTGTCACATCAAGTGATGCTGTTTGGGTACGTACTGGTGTGGGTGTGGGGGAGGTTGGAGATGTGAAGAGAGTTTTATGTGCATTGCCAACACAAAGGTCCAGTTGAGTTTGGCTACGTGAGGGCACAGGCAGAACCAGTGTGGGTATGTCCTGGTGAGTGTGTCTGGATCTGAGTGTGAACCTACAGTTGCACGTCCCTCCCTGGCTTCGGGTCTGTGTGTGTTACGCGGTAACGTGTGTGCATAGGGAGTTGCTGTTGTCATGCCAGCGGTCAGAGATGGGTTGCTGAAATCGGAAGCCGAATTCCCCTCCCCTGGGTGAGTGTGAGTGTGAGATGCACTCATGTGTTATGGGCAGGTTTGTGTGTGTGTGAATGCAAGCAGATGGAGAATCTGGGGGACGTGTACGTAAGCAAGAGCGTGCCTCTGCGTTATGATTGTGTACACATCTGTGTGATGCTTGTGTGTGCACACTTTCTGTGTGCATGTAGTATAGACATGCGTGGCGCTGCGAGTGTGCCTGCAGGTGTGAGTATGTGTTTATGAAGGTGTGCTCGCGTGCCTTGACTGCATGGGGACACTGTGTGTGAATCCCATGTTGTTGGTTTTTGTGGGGGTTTTTTGGTACGGGGGATCGAACTCGGGTCCTTGCGCTTGCGCAGCAGGCAGCGAAACCACTGTGCTAAATCCCCGGCCCGTGAATCCCGTGTTTTCTGTGTGTTTGTGCCAAAACGGACCTGGTCCCCTTTCTGGCTCCTTTGTAGCTAACGCTCCTTGATCCAAGCCTTCCAGGAAGTACTGCTGAGAGCGAAGGCCATCAAGGCACTGACACCGGCCCCCCCCAGCCCTCCGGTGCCTTCTGAAGGGCTTCGTGGAGTGAGATACTAAAGGACTCTGTTGACAGCCTAGAAGAAAACTCGAGAGAGTGCTCAGGAAAGGGTCTTGGGAGTTTGATAAATCTGCACTAGAGTCTAGATTTGCCCCCAGCCTGCTATGAGACGCTGGGTGAGTGACTGCACCACTCTGACCTACACTTGCTTCATCTTTTTTTTTTGTACCGGGGATTGAACTCAGGACTTTATACTTGCGAGGCAGGCACAGGGCCACTGAGCTAATTCCCCAGCCCTCATCTTTGTTTTTGAGGGAGAGTCTCACTCTGCAGTTCAAGCTGGCCTTGAATCCACTGTGTCGCCTGGCTGGCCTTGAACTCACAGCAGTCTCCTGCCTCAGCTTTGTGAAAGCTTGGATTACAGGCATGAGCCACCACACCCCGTGGTTTCCTCATCTTTTTTTTTTTTTTTTTGGTACTGGGGATCGAACTCGGGACCTTGCGCTTGCGAGGCAGGCATTGGAACCACTGAGCTAAATCCCCGGCCATGGATTTCTCATCTTTAAAATGGAAATAATTCCTACCCGACAGAACTGTTGTGGGTAACAGAGACCCATTGTCCAGCTCCCCACCCATCCATTCTATCCTCCCATCTCTCCATCCATCTTTACTCGTCCTTCCACCGTCTCACTGTCTCTGTCCATCATCCATCCATCCATCTGTTCACCCACTCATCCATCTCTGCATCCATCCATCCATCCCTCTATCTCGCCATCTTTATTCATCCCTCCATCTATCTCGTTCACTCCCGCCATCCTTCCATCTCACCATCTGTCTGTCTCTCCATCCTTCCATCCGTGCATCTATCCTGCATCCACACACCTGTTCTTTGTAGCATCTGTACACCCACCCTTGAACCCATTCTTTTATTCACCTGCCTCGACACCCACCTTTTCATCCTTCTTCTAACTCATCTACCTTTTCACCCATCCATCTCTCCACCCACTCAGTATCCATTATGTATCTTTTTAGGAATCCCACCCATCTGTCCATCTCTCTACCCATACACTCACCCGTCCATTGTTTTATGATCCATGCATCCACCCTTCCGCTCATCCATATCCTCATTCATCCATGGGCCAACTCAGTGATCCTTATATCCATTTTATTTATTCAGCAGAACTATAAATTTCGTGCACATATGTACTTGAAAACCCTTAGCTCACTGCATTTCATAAAAGTTGCTCAGTTAGTGCTAAGATTATGAGTCAAGATACCTGAATTTGAATTTTGACACTGCAGTTTACCAGCTGTGTGACCTTGCAGAAAATTATTTAATCTCTCTAAACTCCAATTTTCTCATTAGTCAAGGAGAATTCAGTCTCCATTAGACTAGAAGATCCATGAAGAAGTCTGAGATTTGCTCATTACCACTGAACCCTAAGGCCTTACACATAGTAGGCTTTTTTTGGTGGTACTAGAGATGTAACCCAGGACCCTCACACTAAGCTAGATCCATGCCCCTCATCTATCTATCTATCTATATCTATCTATCAACTATTTATAGACAGGCTCTCATTAAGTTGCTAAGTTGCTGGCTGGGCTCGAACTCGCGATCCTCCTGCCTCGGCCTCCCAAGCACTAGGATTACAGGTATGTGTCATCATGCCAAGCTCACGGTAGACTTACAGTAAATATTTTTCAGTCGGCTGAATCAGCAGTTGTGCTGTTGTAGGGCTTCTCAGGTTCCACCCTCAGATGGAAACAAATGGCTTAGTAGGGCTGGGGATTTAGCTCAGTGGTTTCGCCACCTGCCTTGCAAGTGCAAGGACCCGAGTTCGAGCCCCGGTACCAAAAAACAAATGGCATAGTAGATGTTCAGCAAGGAGAGGTTGTGTCATTCATCACTGCAGCCCAGCACACAGTAGGTCTGGAATAAATGTCTGTCAGTGTCTAAATCAATTTCACCTTCTTAGAGACTGGGGGAAAGAATGGAAGTGAGCAGGCACATAGTAAGTGCTCAGTAAAGAGGAGTTGTAGGAAAAGCTGAGCCGCGGGACCTCCCAAAGCCATGATCATGAGCTAAAGGGCATGGGTGGTCTGCAGGGGGCGAGCCCAGACCCTCAGCTGGACTCCTCTCAGGGATCCCCCTCTCCAGTCCCAGGAGCGCTCAGTGTCCTGAAGTTCCAGACCATCTCTGGGAAGGGGGAGGGAGGAAGTTACCACCACCTCTGGCCAGCTCCCAGCCATAAAGCATCCTCATCTGGGGGCCATAAATCCCGGCCCAGACTAAGTGCTGTGGACCCACTGTCAGTGCTGCCACCTGACGGGGCCTGCAGTGAGCGACCTGCACCTTCAGCTGGAGGTGAGGAGGGCGATGGGGAGGGTCTGAGCAGCTGTCAGCAAGAAGCTCTTTGCCGACCTCCCAGAGGAGAACCAAGACTCAGGACCCTGTATTTCCAGGACATGTTTCTGGGGGGAAAAGTTTCACATCAGTCAGGAGAGGCTGAGCTGTGGATGTGGTGGCTCCTGCGTGTAATCACTGGGAGGCTGAGGCAGGAGGATCGTGAGTTTGAGGCCAGCCCGGGCTACACAGCAAGCCCTTGTCTTGAGAAAGGAGAGAGACAGAGACAGGCTAAGAAACACTATGGTAATAATGTAAACTCTCAATGGCTTAACCTCTCCCAGTTTCTTTTTCTTTCTGTTTTTGTTTTGTTTTTTTTTTAATTTTGGCACAGGGTCTTGCTAAATCACTGAGTCACCCAGGCAGGACTTGAATTTAGCAACCCTCCTGCCTCAGCCTCCCAGAGTGCTGGAACTACACACATGCACCACCTTGCCCAGCTTATTTCTTGCTTCCATACTGCACCCATCTTTGGCTGGGGGTGAGGGGGTACTGTCCATGGTGGCCACACAGGGACCCAAGATGATGGAGGCTGTCTTGTGACAAAATCATTGAGGCAGAAAACAAACAGGGAGGTCACAGCCTACCAGTCTCTAAAGCTCTGTCCAAGTGACTTAGATTCCTTTGGTTACAGCGTGTCACACAGCCAGGCCTCACTTCTAATCCCTCCTCCTGTTATGTGAATGACACACATTCTACTGGGGGCATCTCCATTCACTCAACAAACATTTTTTTGGTACCAGGAATCGAACTCAGGACCTTGCACTTGTGAGGCAGGCACTGGAACCACTGAGCTAAATCCCCAGCCTGAAGAGATTCTGTCTGAATAGCAAAGAACACCCTATCATCCAGGAAATCCTAAGGAATTTAGGACCTCTGACACAAGCACTGGGGGAAGACCAAATATATTTCCTTTTTTTTTTTTGCATTACTGGGGATCGAACTCAGGACCTTGTGCTTGCAAGGCAGGGGCAGTGCCACTGAGCTAAATCTCTGGCCCCTCAACAAACATGTATTGAGCACCTATTATGTGCTAGGCATATAATGGTGAGCAAAACAGGCAGAAATCTCAACCCTGTGGAACTGACATTCTAGGACAGGAGTGGGGAGTAACAACTCCACAGATAAATCTATACTATGTCAGGTGGAGGTGAGAGTCCCATAAGAGCATAGGACAGAGTCACAGGGGATGGAGAGGGACAGGAGAACTATCTGGATTGAGTGGCTTGGCCAAGATGATACAAAGGAGGCTGAGGCATCTAGGGGAAGAGAGATGGTAGAGGTAGCATGTACAAAGGTCCTGGGGTAGGAATATAGCTGGGATGTTGGAAGAACATGGAGGAGGCCCGTGTAGCTGGTGTACAATGAAGGGATTGGTGACAGGTGGCATCTCACACCAGGGAAATTTTGTAAGGACCTTGGATTTAACCTGCACCGCCTCCTATACACCACCCTTCCTCCTTGCCTCCTTTTTTGTTGGGCTTTAAACCTTGTAAAAGACTGTTTAAGTGATTTGCTTATCTTGTCAAAGGCTCCTGCTATAATGTCATGCACTTAAGGACAGGGATTTTCTTTTTTTAGACAGAGTCTTGCTATGTATGACAAACTGGATTTGAACTCATTCTGTAGCCCAGGCTGGCCTCAAACTCATGGCAATCCTCCTGCCTCAGCCTCCCGAGTGCGGGGATGACAGGTGTGCACCACCACACTGGGCAGGGCAGGGCTTTTTTTAAAAATTAGTTTTTGTTGACTTTTTTTTCAGTGCTGGGAATAGAGCCCAAGGCCTTGTTCATGCTAGGCAAGCAGCTGCCATTGAGCTACACCCCTGGCCCTTTCTTGTTTTGTTTTGAATACTGGGCATTGAACCAGGGGCCTTTGTATTGAGCTACTTCCCCGGCCCCTCATTAAAAAAAAAATTTTTTTTTGTTTTGTTTTTTGGGGTTTTTTTTGGTACCGGGGATGGAACTTGGGTCCTTGTGCTTGCGTAGCAGGCGGCAAAACCACTGAGCTAAATCCCCGGCCCAAGAACATGTCTCAAAATAAAACATTTTTGGGCCAGGGATTTAGCTTAGTGGTTTCACCGCCTGTTGCACAAGCACAAGGACCAGAGTTCGATCCCTGGTACAAAAAAAAAAAAAGAATAAATTTGAGACATGGTCTTGCTAGTCTTGCTAAGTCACCCCGCACTAAGTCACCCAGTCACTAAGACCTCCAACTTATGATCCTCCTCCTGCCTCAGCCCACCGAATAGCTGGGATTATAGGCATGAGCCACAGTGCCCGGCTAGTCTGGTTGACTGCTTCCCTCCAGTGCCTAGTGTAGGACCTAGAACATAACAGATGTTCAACAGCTACTTGGTAAACAACTGCATAGGTGACTGAGTGGGATGCTGTGGAAAGGCGTGAGTGGGGGAGGGACAGCGCGACTTGGGATTCAGTTTCCTTCTGGGACCCCTGGGGAGGGCAGACAGGAGGCACAAGGAGAGGATCCAGGCAAGCAGGGTGGAGGCAGCAGCACCTGTCTGGGTGATGGAAGCCGGGCAGGACCAAGGCCAAGGAGGTGGACAGGAGTGGGCAGACTGCTGTGTTCGCTGGCTCCCTGAGTGGGGTGCTCGCTCGTGTGCACACACACAGGTGTGTGAGGAATGTGGCCTGAGCCCCTACTGTGCACTCGGGAGGCTGAGGCAGGAGGATCACAGTGAGTTCGAGGCCGGCCTGGGCTACACAGTGAGACTCTGTCTCAAAAATCCAAACATAAGCAAATAAAATAAAAGATATAAAGAGGAGGGTGGGATGAGGGCTCGCCTTGCACGTGGGAGGCCCTGAGTCCATCCCCAGCAAGATGGAAGGAAGGATGAGTGAAGTTCCCAGGGTCCTCAGCCTCACGCACGGCACTTGTGACGTGGCGCGGTGTGTGTGGCGACAGGGATATTTATGGGATGTTGTGGGGGCTGCGGCACGTGTGATGAGGCCTCTCAGGGGTGCCAATGCCTAAATTGAGGCTTTCGTTTTTTTCACTCCTGCTGGTAGAGATGGAATCCAGGGCCTCGCACGTGCTGGACGTGCACTCCACCGCTGGGCTGCACCCCATCCCCTAAACTAAGGCTTAAAGCCGAGGAGGAATTGGCCGGGTGGAAGGAGAGGGAGGACCCTCCAGAGAGACGGACAGTGAGGATGCAGTCTCGAGGGGAAGGGTGGGAGCATCCTGGTGGGCACCGGGAAAACTGCAAGTAGTTGAGGTTTTCTGGGAGAGGGCAGAAGTCATCCCTAGTGGTCATCAAGTCCAAGGACACAAATTCGCCCTAAACTGCTTGGATCTTATCCGAGTGTCGGATGGAAGGCTTGGAGCGGGACAGGAAGGTGAGGCTGTTTAGTTTTTCAAGAGATTCAATTGTTAGAAAACCCCCTCTCCCGGTACTGAGGACTGAACCCTAAGTTACCCGGGCTGTAATCGAACTTGGGCTCCTCCTGCCTCCACCCCCCAAGTAACTGGGAATACAGGCAGGCATCACCACACCCGTTTCTCTGGTATGAACGCTCTGTTTCTCTCTGTATGTCTTAACTGTATAGCCACAGTACGCAGTAGACAGTCCATAAATGTTTGTTGACTGACAACTGGTGATTATCTCTCTGTGTTCTGACATCGTCCTCCTCTTGCTGTGTCCCTCAATCCGTTTTATTCTGGGGTCCCTGTCTTCAGCCCTGCTTCCCTTTCGTTTCTGTCTCTGAGTATCTGTCTCTCTCACTACTGTCTCTCTCAGATTCTCCCCAGAGCAGATCCCAAGTCTGGACCCCTTGGGCCGCATGGAGTGGGAGCTGGAGGTGGAGATGGGCACCCTGGGTCCCTCACTGCCACCACCACCCTGGAGAGGGAGGCAGGCGTCCCTCTAGGACCCAGCCACCAGGCCAGTACAGGCTCCGAGATGGTGCAGCTGCCTGGCTGCAGCTGCAGGAGCTCATTTTGAACAAGGGAGATGATTGCGGCCTTGCTGGGGAGGGCTCAGGAGGGAGGGCGCCGGTCGTGGGGGATCAGGCCTCAGGCAAAGGCGCTGCTGCTGCTGCTGCTGCTGCTGCTGCTGCTGCTGCTGCTGCTGCTGCTGCTGCTGCTGTGGGTGGCGGGTGGTACCCAGGGGACAGGGAGGCTGGCCAGGCAGGAAAAGGCGGAGGGAGGTTTGTCTGCCTGGCCGCGGGTCCACCTGTCCCTGTGTCTGGTGGAAGTTTCTCCGCCTGTGTTTCTTGCTGGATCTCAGAGCCACCTCTTGGTCCCCGCCGTTTCCACACCCTGGGATCTCGAGGTGTCCAGGAGCCTTCCCGCCCATCCCTGCTGTCATTATCAGAACAGCCAAGGTGCACCCGGCCAGCCTCTTCAAGTGCTCTTTCTCTTCTTGTCATTTCTGGGATCCTCAAGGGGTAGAGAAAAATAGTGGCAGCAAATTCCTGGGAAACGGGTGGAATCGTGTCCTTCAATAAAGGGGTATTTGCAAAGATATCTCAATTAGGACTAATTAATTAAGCAAGCCACTTCCCTGCCCTCTCCCCCGCCCTGCCCGCCAGCCCCGCAACCTCCTGGGAGAGACTCGGCCAATGACAGGAGGGCGGAAACCAGGCTCAGGCAACTGCATGTTTCATTTATAACATAACGCTCCTGCGTCCCATCAATCCATCCGAAGGCCAGGCAGCCACGGGCGTGGGGACTCAGGAGGGAGCTGGAGACTTGCCTGTCCCCAGAGCATGCTCAGCCAGCTGTGTCTGCCGCGGGGTGACAGGGCGTGGCACTGCGGGCCCGAGCGTGCACCTTCGTGTAAGGGGCATCTGATGCCACCGGGTGTGTCTGAACCTTGGGTCCCTGAAGTGTGTCAGGGTGTCTCTCGTAGAGGGTGTCTGGGCTCAGTGAGGGGTGGCTGGGTGTCCAGGGAGAGTGGGACCTGCCAAGGGTGCACTGTGTGCCAAGGATGTGCTTCGAGTCAAGGCCTGCTGTGCTGTGGCTGCTGTGGTGGAGAGGCCTGTGCTTGTAGGTAAGGGGTCTGTCCTCAAGGGCACAGCAAGGTGGGACAGCAGGCCACAACAGGACCTAAAGGTTCCTGAAGAGCTGTGCGTGGTGGCGCCTACCTGTAATCACAGCCCTTAGGAGGCTGAGGCAGGAGGATGGCCTGGGCTACATAGTGAGTTCAAAGCCAGCCTGAACTACATAGCAAGACCTCATCTCAATAAAACCACAAATAGAAAAACAAAGCTTCCAGGAGGTCCAGTGAAGGGTTCCAAGCTACACTCTGACTCCTTCACCTCCTTGTGGATCAGGAGGGCTGAGTCAGTTCCAGCGCTCGGGGCACTGTGCTCTTCTCTTTCACACAGCTTCATGGTCCCCTGGTTCCCATTGCTGCGCTCCCACCGGACTCTTAGAGCACTTCTCAACCTCGCCTTTGCCTGCCTTTTGCACCCAACACAGAAGAGTTACCGGTGTAAAAAGCATATCTCACTTTTACTTTCTAGTTAGGAAACTTCAGTACAATGCTCAGCCCAGGCCTGGGGCCCTCAGGGGTTTGACTCAAGGGGCGAGTCTGGCTTCACATGGAGCTGGGTCTGAGAGGCAGTCTTCAATGTTCTGTACAAAGATAATGAAACCTCGGTATAATGACAAGCCTGTTGGTGTAGCCCTCAGGGTAGTGCCCGCTATGGTGATGCAGCCTTCAGTATAATGACACCCAGGGAAGCAGCCCTGAGGGTAGAGCCTGCCAGGATGATGTGGCCTTCCGTATAATGGCAAGTCTACTGATGCAGCCCTTAGTGGTGTTACCATGGTGGTGTCACAAGTCTTGAAATGTGACTTAGATTCGGCAGACAGACACTGGCTGGGACATTTGTGCAGTAAAAAGCAAAGAGGAATTATTTGTTCACTCATATGAGTGTGTTCTCCAGCTATTCCAGGATTCCCCAACCCCGCTGCTCAAGGCTGGCTCCATGAGTCCTTGGAAGTGCCGCGTGACCTCAGCGTGACACCAGGCTTATTAGCAAAGCATAAATTCTGCAAGAATATTTTAGGGCTGACTGCTATGCTAATGAGTTAGCCGGGGAGACCTAAGACGGCAGTTGCAAGGATGTATACAGATGTCAGCTCCTGCCGAGACGCATGTAGGAATGTTCATGGCCACCAGCAGGTGGAAACAAATGGACAGAGAGGATTCTACCTGGAAGGGCTCAGGTGTTCCCGAACAGACAGATATGCAGCATGTTTGTGGCACTTGTGATCACAAGTACAAAGGATTGGCACTCTACAGCATCTCTCTTTCTGAGCTGTAATGTTCTACAGGTTATGTGTATTAAATAAATGCTTTTTGGATTTCTGATGGGTTTATCAGGATGTAACCCCATTATAAGTCAACAAGCTTTTGTGCACAAGAATAGAATACTTGTGAACATGTCTCAGCAAAAGGAATGGTCAAGCCAGGCACAGTGGCACCCAGCTGTAATTCCAGCTTCTCAGGAGGCTGAGGCAAGAGGATCATATGTTTGAGGCCAGCCTGGGCAAGCTAGCGAGACCTTGTCTTGAAGTAAAAAACATAAGGGCTGAGGATGTAGCTCAGTGGTAGGGCACTTGCCTAGCACATACGTGGCTCTGGGTTCCGTCTCCAGTACTACCTGAATAAATAAAAGGAATGCTTATGCTGGGTGTGGTGGCGCAGCCTGTCATCCCAGCACTCAGGAGGCTGAGGCAGAAGATGGCTGTGAGTTCAAGGCCAGCCTGAAATTCATAGGGTGACTCTGTCTCACAACACCAAAAAAAAGGAATGTTGATGGGCTTGGACAAACACGTGAACAAAGGTACACATGTCCTTATGGCTGTCACCAGTGCACACAGATATTCCTCTGGACTTAACACTCGTGTGCACCCACATACGTGGCTAGTTCTGGATGTGCACAGAGACTCCTGATGCGTCCTGGACAGCACCACTCACAGGTGCTGCCAATAAACTTGGGTTTCTGTGCACAGAATCCGGGGGCATCCTAAAATGTACCTGCTGCTGTTTGGGGACACGAGTGACTAAATCTCTACGAGGTCTCTGAACTGGCAAACAGACTCCAGAGCCAGCAAGGATGGCCTTGGGAGTGCCCTGGGGCCTTTTCAGAGGACACAGGGGAATCCAGGGTCATATGTTATCAGCAGCCCTGTCCAAGGAGCCCAAGCCCAAGCCCCGCTGGCTCACCCAGCTCGCTTGGCTGAGGCTCCATCCGGGATAATTACAGGGGCTGATGCCCAGAATGGGGCCTGGCATCAGGAAAGGCCAGGTGCCCGTGAGAGACCATTGTTAGCATGGAGGAGAATCATCATTACCGTCAGTCGTAAATACACAGCTTGCAAGCCAGAGAGAACCTGGGCCTTAGGCTTGGTTTTCCAGTCTCTTCTCATGTCCTCCAGTCCCTTCCTGTCCCTTTGTCCACCATCCTGTCCCTCCAGCCTCCAATTTCATACGCTTCTCTCCTCTCCTCCTCCAGGTGGAGAATGTCATCTTTAAAGCCATGCCCCTCCTGCCCTTCCTAGGTTCCCTCTCTCGCCACTTTGCTCTCCCTGCCCCACCTTTTGGCTCTGGAGTTTGAATCCTGGTCTTTTGCACTGAGCTGCACCCCTAGTCCTTTTTTATTTTTAATTTATTTTTTGTACCGGGGATTGAACTCGGGTCCTTCCGCTTTGAAGGCAGGTGGTAATTTTTTTTTTTTTTTTTTTGAGGCAAGGTCTTGCTAAGTTGCCCAGGCTGCGCTTAAACTTGCAGTCCTCCTGCCTCAGCCTCCCTGAGTGCTGGGATGACAGACATGCGCCATGGCTAACAAATACTTATTATGCACCCTCCTATGTGCCAAGTGGGTAAGACAGGCAAGACGCTTGCACACATGGCATTTGGGTGGGAAGAGACGAACTGCAAACAAACAGGAAATGATCCTCTGATCCTGGACAGGGATGGGTGTGAGTAGGGGATATGTGAGTTATTTTTCCATTACTGTAACAAATACTTGAGATAAATCAGCTTACAGAGAAAAAAGGTTATTTTGACTCACAACTTTAAATTCCAGTTCTTGAGTGGCCCCATCACTTTTGCACGTCATGGCGGATGACTGCGGAGCCAGCTGCTCACCTGAAAGCAGGGATATGAAAGAAACCGAAAGGGGAGGGGCTGAGTTCATCACCCTCGAGGCCACGCCCCCATGACCTCTCCCCTCCCACAAGGACCGCCTCTTAAAGGTTCCACCCCCCCCAGTAGCGCCAAGCATTGAACACGTGACCTTTGAAGGCTGTTCCAGATCCAGACCCTAGCAGGAGGTTAGTGTGAACTACATGGCCTGGAGAGGCCAGTCCTGCTCCAGCTTTTGGTGTGTCTCTTCTGTCCCCCACGCTGAAGGCCCTGGGGTGGAAATGAGCTTGCTGTATTCTGGAAAGACAGCCATAGAAGGGGAGGGCAGGAGCTTATACGCGTCAGCAAGGGATTGTCCATTAGTGGCCTCGCAGGCCCCAAGGTGTGTTGGGGTTTATTCTGAATGCAGCAAGAAGCCCCTGGATGATTTGCATTGGGAAGGAGCGCTCCAGTCTGATTCACATGTTTTAAGTTCCTCAGCTGCTGGGCTGGGGAATGGATTCCAGGGCTGAGAGTGAAGGATGAAGACTTGGGAGAGGTAATTGTAGTAGCCCAAGCAAAACCCAGCGTTAGCCAGGCACTGGAGTGCATGCTTATAATCCTAGCACTTGGGAGATAGAGGCAGGGGGGGTGGCAAGTTCAAGCCCAACCTAGGCAACTTAGCAACTTAACCCTGTCTAAATAAATAAATTAAATAGAAAGGGGTGAGGATGTAGCTCTGTAGAAAGGCACTGGGTTCAAGTCCCAGTACCAGAAATGGAAATATCAATACCAGGACAAAAATAGTAGAACTGCTGTGCCCTGGGCCGATGGGCATGTGCCTTGGACACAGAGTTATGGGCCTTGCTGGTGGACCAGACATGAAGAAATTGGGAATAGGAACCAGAACAGTGTCATGAGGTGGTGGCTGGAGAGAAGCATGAAACCTAGGGAGAATTTCTGAAAGATACAGGAAATTGCTGGGTGTGGTGGTGCATGCCTGTCATCCCAGCACTGGGGAGGTTGAGGCAGGAAGATTGCTGTGAGTTTGAGGCCAGCCTGGACTACATAGTGGGACCTTATCTCAAAGTAAGCCCCCCCAAAAGATGGAAAGAGGCAAAGGGGCAGACATCAGACAGGTTACCGCACCTCTAATAGCCGGGAAGAGGCAATGGCTTGAACCCCCTTCTGTGCTCTATGGAAAGACAGGACCCCCCCCCCCGCCCCGAGATTTCTGACTCCTTGACTTCCTGCTTCTGCTGAAGCAGAAGCGTGGCATCTGTGGCCTTCCATCTTTGCTCTGACCTTTACCAAGCCCAGGAGCTCAGCCTCCAAGGTCATGGAGGATGTGCAGGCTAGCCCAAGCCCCTCAAACCTGATCCTGACAGCAGCAGGGCCCTTTGTCCATCTGTGGATTTATTCAGCAAGCGCTCATGCATACTTATGTGCCATCATGAGAAAAAAGACCGTGAGCCAGACAGACACAGGGCATATGGGAGGCAGGTATTGATCACAGATTCACAAATAAGTATAAATCGCAGCTGCGATAACAGCTTGGAAGAAAAGATTATTGGTGTTCTAAGAGCTTCTAATAAGGAAATTTGATCTAATTTGGAAAGCCTGAGGAAGCAAGAGCTGAGATCCGCTGTGGGGAGGGTGAGGAGTCCTGGAAAAGGCGATGGCCTGTAAAAAGGTCCTGTGGTGAGAGGAAGTATGGAAAATGTGACAGACTAAAGGTGGCCTGGGGGTGGGAGGTTGGTCCCAGCTATAAGCAGAGGGGTAGGTAAAGGGCAGACCCATATGGTCTCGTGGTCATGTTATGTGTTATCTGTATTTTAAGGATAAAAGGAATCCATGTCAGGTGTGGTGGCTCATGCCTGTAATCCTAGCACTCAGGAGGCTGAGCCACGAGGATCACCATGAGTTCGAGGCCAGCCTGGGCTACATAGTAAGTTCAAGGTTATATAGTGAGACCCTGTCTCAAAAACAAACAAACAAACAATAAAAGAAACGCACCATGGGGTTTCACTTTGGAGGCTGTATACGTATATCATCATGTGTACACTGTAAAAGTTCCCCGAAACTGCCATGTGTAGAGTGGATTGGCCAGAAGAAAGCATAGATTGAGGTAGTCCAGATAGACTTTCTGAGTTGAGAAGATATCTTGGACTATTGGATGACAATAGAAATGGAGAACTTGTGTGGATTCTAAGAAGATCTGGGGCTTAAAGTCAACCAGATTGGTGAGGGAAGAAAATGGGGGTGAGGGTACTGCTTGGGTGTGTCTGCCCCCCTGACCTGGGGGATGGAGATGAAGACATACAGGGTGTTGGGTGAGAACTGGATTCAAGAGCAAAGAACTTAATGTTTCATGGTGAACATGTTGGGAATGAAACGCTTCAGAGGCACCTGGTGGGTTGGTCATGAAGTTGGATGAATGAATGGATTTGGAGTTCTGAGACATATTTGTATGTGGCATGGAGGCTTTGGTAGGAGCAAGAACCTGTATTGGTCAGTTGCCCCATCACTGGGACAAAACACTTGACACAATTTGAAGGAGGAAGAAAAGATTTAATTTCGCTCATGGTTTCAGAGAGTTCAGTCCATGGTTGACTGGCACCACAGCAGAAACATCATGGTAGAAGGGCCTGGCGGAGGAAAGCTGCTCACCTCATGGAGGCCAGGAAGCAGAGAGAGGGGAAGAGCCAGAGAGGAAGGGCCAGGGATCACATAGAGTCCCCAAGCTTGCAGCCCCATCGGCCACCCAGAAACATCCAGACCTGTGGTTTCCTAATCTCCTAGGTGTCTCAAGCCAATCAAATTGACAATCAAAATTAACTGTCACAGAACATTTAGAGAAGGATAGAGAGAAAGAGTTCAAGACTAAGGTAGAGTAATTGTCCCCAAGCAGGGAGCACTTTTGTACTCACGTGACCATCAGCCATATCTGGAGATGTTTTGTTGTCACATCTGGAAGGGTGGGATATGACTGGCATACAGGGTTGCTGCTTAGCATCCTATGGTGCACAGAATTCAGTTATCTGGCCCCAAGCATCAATAGCACCGATGTCAAGAAACCTCAGTGGAGGGGGATGTTTAATGGGCAGGTGGAGGAAGAGGATTCTGCCAAGGAGATGCATTGAGGTACGAGGGAACCATGCAAACATGTCTTAGTCTGTTTTCTGTTGCTGTAACTGAATGCCACAGACCAGGTGACTTATAAAGAATGGAAGTTTATGTAGCTTTTGGTTCTGGTGGCTGGGAAATCCAAGCGTAGATGGTGAGGAGCTTCCTTCTTCCTGTGTCATAGCATGGCCAGGGCATTGCATGATGGCACAGAGTAAGCTAACCAGAGAGAGTGCTCAGTGCAAAGAGCCTGGGTTCAATCCCCAACACCCACCCCCCCCCCAAAAAACCCATAGGTGGAAATGAGGGAGTCACCAGTTAGAGTAAGTAAAGAAGTGGAGGCTGTTAGCATAGGTAGCTAGGAAGAGGAGAGAGAAGCAGGAGGCAGATAAAAGGAGTAGTTAAGCATGGCATGTTTTAATTGCTTCTTTTCTTTTCTTTTTTTTAATTGCTTATTTTCTTAAGAGGGACTTAAATTTCTCTAAAAACCAGTGAGAAAGTTCTGCTTCAGAGAGACAGAGACAGAGATAAAGAGAAACAGGGAGAGGTTGAATATGCAGGCTAAAGGTGAGATGGCTTGTGTGAGTCCCAAGAAGGCAGAGGGATCCAAGCGAGAAGGGCCCCATGACCATAGGAAGAGGACAGAATTCAGGGAAGGTTGGTAAATTGTGACTAGGGAGAGGGAGCATCCCATTTTGTGACTGTCATTTCCTCTGGGAGGTTTAGAGGGGAGACCAGGGAAGGTTGGAGGAAAAGACTGGGGGTTTTAAGCCTCCTTGTTCAGCATATGGTGCCCTGTGGTGGTGAACAGACAGACAGACAGACACACACACACACACACCTGGCACACAACCATGAAGTCTGGAACCCTGGCATGAGTTTCAGTCTCTGAGCCTGGGGACAGCTCAGAAGGGACATTTCTAGCTCTAGTGCCCATGAGGTAAGACTCAGGATGGCTTCCCATAAAGTCCCCAGATCTTGAAGATTAATACCATTTATGAAAGCTCATCAAGGGTTGGAGATTTAGCTCAGTGGTTTCGCCGCCTGCTGCACAAGCAGAAGGACCCGAGTTCGATCCCCGGTACCAAAAAAAAAAAAAGCTCATCAAGAAAGCTTTGTAATAATCTTTGAAAAAGACTCATAAAATTCACTTTAATGAGTTTAAGATAATGCCAATGGACGAGTAAAATCCCCTTACCCTCATTAATCCTGGGACACACCAGTCATTCGCAGTGAATATTTATCGAGGAGGCCCTGAGCATTGGAGGGAAATGCTTTATGAGAGACTAGATCCCCAGGAGCAGGACACAGAGTGAAGGGTGAATTAGGGCAAAGTGGACCCAGGTACTGAGATAGACCAGGCTCAGCTCAAGACCCAAGATTAATAAATTCAGGTCCTGGGACAGAACAGGGACATATCCCTGAGGTCTTAAGATACTCTATGATTGGCTTTTTTCAGACTAGAATCAAGCCAAAGCCCTGATAGACCCCAGGGCTGAACTTGGCTCTAGCGATTGACCAAGAGCAAGTGCAAGCCCAGGTCTATCAGTGCCACACTTGAGGTGAACTTGAGGTAGAAAAGGCCAAACCCTGAGCCTGGAATAGACCAGGGTTGAACCTGAGTCCTGAGCTAGACCAGGGCTAGACCCACATCCTGAGCTAGATCAGAGCAGAACCCATGTGGATAGAAGCAGAAAATGGGTTTATTTTGGGAAAGCAGTGGGAGGCAGGTTTGCCCTCTCTTCTTGTTGAACCACTTTCCCCAACTGTTGAGTGCCTCTGGGTTTAATGGCCATTGCAAATATCTCAGAATGTCCCGGGACTGATGAGGGAAAGAGTTTTTCATTTGCCAATGCCAGGTCATCCTAGGATCTGAGTTGAGCCAGCTCAGACCCATGAGCTGTTTTGTTATGCAGTAGCATAGCATAGCTTATGCTGACTGACACAGAGCCTACATGTGTGTGAGACTGAGATGTAACACTCTGTCCATACTCAGCTGAGTCACTCAGCATGGGAATCACTCAGAGAGGCTGTCCCTCCTTTCCATGCTGGCTGTGACTCTTCTGATACACTTGAGTGATGCCCCCACTTTACATGGGCTAACACACACACACACACACACACACACTCAGATGCTCACACCGCGGCAGACAATGCATGCATGCACGCACATTCACGTCAACCCATGCACATGTCTCAAGCACACAGCAGCACACTCCACACAGGCATGCACATTGACACACAGACCCTTGCACACACACACACACAGACCACAGTATGGTCTCACAAACACACTGCCTGCTGATCAGTCTACACACTCAGCCACAGACCCCCACATTGTGCCTCTTCCACATCTACCTACAATAGCACACAAGTGCAGGGATGTGATGGTATCTAAGAACAGTGCCCCTAGAATTGTGTAGTAGAAAACCCCCACCCTTCACACTCACATTTTCACATCTGTATATGGTCACGCTACTCAGTTAGTTTTACACACTCATTTACACATTCATACACTTGCTGATGCTTACACATATACACTTGTATATAGCTACACACTCACGCATGTTGGTATCATGGATACAGAGCTACATTTCAGCTTCACACAGTCACAGACTCTGTAATAGTCAGCATTGGGTAGGCTGTGCTGTGTAATAAAGCAGCCCCAAGTCTCAGTAAGAAAAATCAACCCAGTGAGCTTTTGGCTCCTGCTACATGAGTGTTTGTAGGGTCTCTGCCTATGTTGGTCACTCAGAGACCCCCGCAGATGGAGACTTCCCATCAACACACTCTTTGTTTGTTTATTTTTTTGGTACTTGGGATCGAACTCGGGTCCTTGAGCTGGTGCAGCAGGCGGCGAAACCACTGAGCTAAATCCCCGGCCCAACACACTCTTCTGTAATTGCTGATGCCAGAACAAGGCAGAGGATGTACTGGCTATCAAAGCTTTCTCCACAGGGCCGGCGATTTAGCTCAGTGGTTCCGCCACCTGACTTGCAAGCACAAGGTTCCGAGTTCGATCCCCAGTTCCAAAAAAAAAAAAAAGCTTTCTCCTGGCAGTTGCTTCCACAACACTGGCTAAAGAAAGCCCCATGGCAAGTGCTGGGAAAATACACTCTTATCATGTGTGTAAGAGAAAAGAACTAGAAAATCTGTCAACAGTTCCGTTGACTATCACAGTCTCTTACACACACACACACAACACACACACACACGCACACACCCCCATACAGACTGGTCCTGTCCCCCATCCTTGGGACAACGCAGGAGGCCACACATGCCTTCCTCAGAGTTTGTCTCTGGAGCCCCCGCCTCAGGGCCCATCAGAGGGGCCTCCCTGTCCCTCCCGAGCTGGGAGGGTCCCAGGAAATTGAATTTCCCACTGGAGCTCGAGCTGGAGCTGAGAAAACAGCTCAGCCACCTCCCATGCCCTGGAGTGGGTGGTATTTTTCCACAGACACAGGGGAAGAATAATAATAGGCATCGGAAGAGCTCTGTCTTGGCCATGAACAGCGCCAGGCTTGCCAGCTGCAGCTTGGAAGGGAAGCCCAGAGGGATACAGGCAGATCCCGAGAGGCCCCTGCTCCACACCCTCGCGGTCTGCAACACCACCACGGACCCTTGCTTTCCCCTCTCAGCCAGCCCTGCTTCTCCTCTCACTACTCAAATATTCCAAGGCAGGAAACCATGAATATTTATAGGGGCCTGGCACTTAGGGAGATAAAAAAAATTTGGAATTTATGAACTGGGATCCATCTATAAATAACAGGGCTGTGGCTGATGGGGTTCCTCCCTCACCCACTGATTCCTTCAAGTTCAGCTGCAGCCCCAGCCGAGCCTTGAAGAGTTACCACTGCTCCACACATGCACACATGCATGTGCACAGACATGTGTGTGGACACAGCCTCATCACAGACACTACATCCTCTGGTGTGCAGGCATGTTCACACTGAGCTGAGCACACAGACACACATTCACACCTGCCTGGGACTGGCCTGCTGTGTCCTTACACACACACACACACACACACACACACACACACACAATCATCTCCAAGCACAGTGGATGTGAACACATCTAGGAAGCCTCCTCCATTCATATTCAGGCTGGTGCACACTCAGACCAGCACACACAACACACAGTTGTGCACAATTGAGAAGCCCATGCCCTGGCTCATGAGGCCACTCCTGGCTCCTCCAGGCCTCAATTTCCCCATCTGCATAAGGAGCATGCTGTGTCCTTACCTCATATGGTTACTGCACAGGGTTTTTTCTGAAGGTAGAACCCAGGGCCTCACCCATGCTAGCCAAGCACTCTTACCACTCCTGGTCCTTTTAAAACTTATTTTATTTTATTTTGAGACAGGGTTTTGCTAAGTTGCCTGGCCTGGCCTCAAACCCATGATCCTCCTGACTGAGCCTCCCGAGTAGCTGGGGTTACAAGTGTGTACCACCATGCCCAGCCACTGTGCAGATTTTTTAAAATATCAAGCAGGATGGCCAGGCGTGGTAGAGCAAGCCTGTAATCTCAGCACTCTGGGAGGCTGAGGCAGGAAGGTCATAAATTAAGTCCAGCCAGGCCAATATGGTGACTTAATGAGACCCTGCCTTGGAATAAAAATAGTAATAATAATAAAGGAATGGGAGAGAAGGGAGAGCTACCTGAGAACGGCTGATGGATTGCCTGGCAGGGTGGATATGACGTTGTCGGGTATCCGTGTAGACCCAGGACACCTCTGTGAACACCCTCTGCCATCTTCATTCAGCTTCTTGGGAGGCAGAACCGGGGTCAGGGTTTGGAGCCTGTAATTAATGGAGTGAGGGAAGCAAGTCCTGGGAAGAAATGGGTTGAGTAAAGATGAGGTCCCAGGTGACATCCACGCTTGGCCCAGTCTGCTGGGTAGGAGTGTCTAGAATGCAGACTGTACTGCGGTTATCTGACCAAGGGATATCACCATGGACTTTCTCGCCCCAGGCTCAGTCATTGTGGCCCTTCGGGGTGGGGATGCCTCACAGGCATCTGCGCGGTGCAATGGCTCCCAAAAGCCAAGGACCCGCTAGGTGAGGTGGTGTCTGCCTATAATCCCAGAACTCTGGGAGGCCAAGACAGAAGGGTTCCAAAAGCCAAGGGCACCTGGGGATGTAGCTCAGTGGTCCTGAGTTCGATTCCCAGTACCAAAAAAAAAAAAGCCAAAGGCAGGTATCAGGGGTCACTGCTTCTAGCAATGAGCCCCTGTGTGCAGCAGCTGTGGGGTGAGCACATGTCATCAGCAGGGGCCAGGCAGACCCTCGAGAGCATTTTCTATACCCTTGTGCTCCGATGAGGAGGGTCAGAGGAGCCCCAAGCCCTTTGCCAGTCAGCACAGGCATCTGACACCAGAACCTGTTCTCAGCTCTCTCAGGTTGAAAATCAGGCCAACTTGGCACAGAGGCTGGCCTGACATGGCTGAGGCCCCTCCCAGATTCGTTAGCTGCCAGAGACTCTGACCTCTGGTTCCTAGATTTTCCCTGGGAGTTGCAACAGGAGCCATAAGGAGCATAGGCTGCCCCCGATGAATCCAAGAATAGCTTGCTTTAATTCTCCCGTGACCCTAAAGCAAGGCACTGGGCTCATCTCCATTCTGGAGATGGGAAAAGCAAGGCCCAGGGAGGTTAAGTCACTTGCCCAAGGTCATACAGCTAGAAAGTGGATGAGGCAGGATTTGAACTCACTTCATCAGGTTTTGGGATCCGTGAGCTGCAGAGCTGCACTCAACTGACTTCAAAACCCAGATCCTTTTGAATCTTAGAAGAGAGGAGGGACAGAGAACTGTAAAGATACAGAGGTGGGGGGGGCTGACTGTCTGTGAAAGCTTTCTGCAGGTGGTGGTGTTTTATTCTGAGCCTTGAAGGCTGTGTGCAGTATTGAGAGTCCTGGAGGAGTGGGCAGGAGTTTGGCACAGTACAAACCCCGGCTTCACCACACCCCCGGCCCTGGGCTCCTGATCTCAGCTCTGCCTCTTAACACAAATCAAAGCAGTGTTGCTTCCAGGTTGGCTGGAAAAACCATAGAAATATTCACTGAGCATCTATGATGTGCTCAGTGCTGTTTTAGGCATCAGGTCCTTTGTGTTCCCTTCCTAGTGGGTTGTGTTAGTGTGATCTTCATTACCGTAATGAGATACCTGAGGCTGCATCACTTTATAAAGTAAGAAGGTTGGTTTAGGTCACAGTGCTGGAGGCTCAGCCCTGGCAGAGACCTCATTGTGGATGGTGTCACTGGGAAGGAAGAGAGTAAATCAAGAGACAGGAAATGAGAACAAGGAAGAAATCAGGATGGGGGGGTACTGGGGATTGAACCCAGGGTCTTTACACTGAGCTACATCCCCAGCCCTTTAAAAAAAATTGAAAGGTAACTTTAAAAATTAGTATATAGGGGCTGGGGATGTAGTTCAGTGGTTTTGCTGCCTGCTGCACAAGCACAAGGACCCGAGTTCGATCCCTGGTACCAAAAAAAAATAGTATATATTTGTGATACATAATAAGTATATCGTGGGGAATTGGCACATGTACACTACTGAACCATAGCACCGGTTATCTGCTACACTGCCCAAGAAATGTGTGATGTGGCTTCTGTCGTGACAAGTGCCAAGCAGGGAGATGCAGAGTGAAGGGGGCAATCGTGGAAGATGTCCCTGAGGACATAAGTTTTTAGCTAAACACCTAACTATGGACAAGAAGGACCCATCATTATCAATGTTCTTCCACAGGCTTGTGGAGTCCTGAGCAAATGTTCTATAAGTGAATATGTTGGTAGGTAAAACAACTTTAGAAAGACATCACCTGGGCTTTGAGTCCTGCGTGCTGGTCATTACCTTGTTCTGCTGGGTCACGCAGGGGCAGTGACCCTTGAAAACTACATTTCCCAGGTTCCCTTGCTCACCAGATTCCTGCTTGATTCAGCCAATGCGGGGGGGGGGGTGCCGTTTGAGTCTGGGGGGTGGGAGAAAGAGAGGCTTCACCAATCTCTTTGCTCCAAGACGTGACCTCACCTCCTCCCTGGCTCCAGCGCTGATCTCCGGGCTTCCAGCCTGGTGGCCCAAGGCATGATGCCAGCAGCACTATTTTTCTCTTTTCTCTGCCATCCATGGAGTGGCGACCGCTTCTAACAGTTGCTACCCTTTGGATTCCCCCTGCCCCCATGTCTTTCGTTTAGCCTTCTAGCTTCTGTTAAACTCGCTCTAAGTAGCCTGGCCTCAGTTTCCCCAACTGTCTGTGAAGACACAGCATACCCCTGCCCTGACTTTCCTCCCCCGGCACCCCCCCCCCTTGTACTGGGAAGCGAACCTAGGGACGCTTCACCCGTAAGCTGTATCCCCAGCCCTTTGTATTTCTTATCTTGAGACAAGGTCTTGCCAGGTTGCTCAAGCTGACCTTGAACTTGCGATCCTTCTGCCTCAGCCTCTGGAGTAGCCCAAATTACAGGTGTTCACGCCATGCCCCTGCCATGCCCTCCTGACTTTCCATTTCCAACATTCCCCGCGTCGTGCTGCTGTTCTGAGGTGAGCGGGGACAGTAACCTCAGTAGCCGACTCTTTTGCAGCAGTCACCACGTCTTGACTTTAATGATTTTTTTTTTTTTGGTACCAGGGATCGAACTCGGGTCCTTGTGCTTGCGAGAAAGGTGGCGGAAGCACTGAGCTAAATCCCTGGCCCGCTTTAATGATTTTTTGTTTGTTTTTTGAGACAGGGTCTCACTATGCTCCGGCCGGCCTTGGATTCGTGGCCATCCTCCTGCCTCAGCCTCCTGAGTGCTAGGATGACAGGCATGCGCCACATGCCCTTGATTTTAAACTCTGTGCACACTGACATTCATTTAACCTCCATAACAGCCTAAGAAGCGGGCACAAGTGTTCACCTCATTTTCCAGATGGGGAAACTGAGCCACAACAAGGTTCAAGTTGCTTGGCTGACATCACTAGGGCTAGAAGGTTGTGCTGCGAGGTCCCTGGTGTTGCACTGGGCTCACAAAGAACTGGAGCTCTTAATCCTATTGCAGCAGGCCAGGCTCAGGAGGGAAGCAGCGCTGGGCCCCCTCTTTAACTGGATGGATGCAGGTGCGGAGGCCACAATGCGAGCTGATTGAGGGCCACTCTGGCCGGCCATCTGGCAGAACAATCCTGGCTCCTGCCGGCTCCTATCCAGCCTGAAGGAGAGGAGACAGAAGCCGCTCCTAGCTGCCGCTGGATCGATTTCCCTTCAAGTGGCCCATTGTCGCTGACAAAGGGCTCGGTGACCCGGGTGGCTAGCGCTGCCCCCTCCCTTTCCAGTGGAGGATGTGCCCAGAGGTGGGAGCCGTTTTCCCTCTTTCAGAGTCATTTCTTTGAAAGGCCTGGAAAATGCTGAAGGATGACTGAGTCGGCTCTGCAGTGCTTGCCTGGAGTTCCCCAGTGGATTTCTCTGCCTGTCCTCACTTGTATGCCATTGTGGGCCGAATCGTGTCCCCTACACACTAAAAATAATTCAAATGTTGATGTCTTAACCTCCCCCCCGCCAGTGCCCCAGAACGTAACTAGAGTTCAAGACGAGCTTTGAAAGAGGCACATTTTCTCCTCTGTATCTGCAGGTCCCTTTCTGTAAATTCAATCAACAGCACAGCAAAAGTAATCCCGCCTCTTCAGGAGGCTGAGGCAGAAGGATTCCAAGCATGAGGCCAGCCTAGGCAATTTATTGAGACCCTGTCTCAGAATTTTATACCTTTTTTTTTTGTTTTTTCAAATTGCAATGTAGCTGTCTGTTCTTGAACTTGTGGCAATCCTCCTGCCTCAACCTCCCAAGGGCTGGGATTACCGTACCACCACACATGGCCAGACTTCTTTTCTTGTCATCATCTCTTCAGCAAGAGAGGGTAGCAACTCCACACACAGCTTCTGCATTGTCCCAGGCATCCTCAGTCACCCTGAGATGAGTGGAAGCCCCTGGGAGGGTGCAGCTTCTGTGCCAGTGCTACAGTGTTTTCAGAAGGCACTCTGGCGTCCACAGATTTTGATATCCATGGTGGGGGCAGGTCCTGGAGCTGATTTGATGACTGTAATCAAATTTAAATGGGAGGATTTGTGTGGGGCTTAATCCAGTGTAACTGGGGCTCTCATAGGAAGAGGAGGGCTGGGTGTGTGGCTCCGGGGTAGAGTGCTTGCTGGGAATGCACAAGGCCATGGGGTCCATCCCCTGTTAGAGAAAGAAGGGAGGGGGGAAGCCACCACCTGCACCAGGCATGTTGGTGCACGCCTGTCATCCCAGCACTCCTAGGCTGAGGGAGGAGGATCGCCACAAGTGTGAGGCCAGCCTGGGCAACATAGTGAGTTCAAAACCAGCCTGAACTACATAGCGAGATCCTGTCTCAAAGGACCAGAGGAGGAGGAGGAGAAGAAAAAAAGAGGAGGAGGAATGAGAGGGGGAGGGAAATTAAAACAGACACACACAGAGGGAGGACAAGTGAAGATAAGAGGAGGTGGCCCCTGCAAGCCCAGGAGGCAGGCCTCAGAAGGAGCCAGTCTTGCTGACACCCAGATTTTGAACTTCAAGTCTGCAAAAGCCTGAGGCAGTCCGTTTCTCTTCTGTAAGCCGCCCAGCCTGTGGCACTTTGTTCTCACAGCCTAGCAACCTCCCACACACACCCTTTCTCACTTTTAAAATTTTGAGTCAGGGTCTTGCTCAGTTGCCCAGGCTGGGCTCGAACTTGAGATCCTTCTGCCTCAGCCTCCCTCAGTGGTGGGCTGACAGGTGTGCACCTCCACACCCAGCTTTATTCTATCTTTTACAACCTTGTTTTTTTTGGTACTGGGGATCGAACTCGGGTCCGTGTACTTGCAGGGCAGGTGGCGGAACCACTGAGCTAAATCCACGGCCCATAACTTTTACAACCTTGTGTGAGCCAGCTCCTGCCTGATGTCTCCTTACCACTGCATCATGCAGAGTCCTGGTGGAAAATATCAGCTCCTAAAGGCAGCCTGAGGAGAACTCAGTGAAACAGCTATTTCCAGAAATGCAGGCAGGGATAAGGGACCAGGCAAGGGGGTATTGAACAACCCCCAGGGTCTGCAACTGAGGCCAGCTACTGCCACCCCTAGGCCACAGTGTGACCGTGGCTGCAGGAAAATGCACTCATTTGCCAGGCTGCCACGGTAAAGCTGAGTTGTCCCTTGGTGGGGACGGGTTCCAGTGTCTGCCTTCAATACCAGAACTCACAAATGTGGAGACCTTTATATTGGATGGTGTAGTATTTGCATAGAACCTACATAGTCCTCCCATAGACTTTAAATCATCTCTAGATGACTTATAACACCTAACAAAATGTAATGGCTTTGGGCACCTGGTGTGATGGCACACACCTGTCATCCCAGCCCTGAGGAGGCTGAGGCAGGAGGATCACTGTGAGTCTGAGGCCAACCTGGGCTACACAGTGAGATCTGGTCTCAAAAAACCAAAACTAAAATAAAATGTGAAGGCCACATACACAGTTGTCATACTGTATCGTTCAGGGGATAATGACAAAAAAAAAAAAAAGGCTGTACATGTTCAGTATAAATGCACTTTTCCCCCAGTGCTTTTTCTTTTCCAGCCCTGGAAACTGGACCCAGGGCCTCTGTACTGAGCTACATCCCAAGCCCTCTTTTTATTTTTTATTTTGAGACAGGGTCTTGCCAAGTTATTTAGTTGCCCAGGCTGGGCACAAACTTTCGATCCTCCTGCCTCGGCCTCCCAGAGTGCTGGAAAGACTGTCATGCACTACCACACTCAGCTTTTCAACTCTTTGTTGAGCAACTTTCAGGACTCTGTGTACCATGCCTGCTCCTACTAGGGTGGAATCTTGGTGAAGGTGGCAATCTCTACCCATCTTTTTTTTGGGGGGGATACTGGGGATCAAACTCAGGACCTTGTACTTTTGAGGCAGGTGCGGCACCACTGAGCTAAATTCCTACCCATCTTGTTGATGGAGTATCCCAGAGTCCGGACCACTGCCTGGCACGCAGTCGGTGCAATGGTGCGATGGTGCACCTACTGTGTGAATCTTGATTGGCTACTTGACAGGCTTGAGAGATGCCTGGGAGATGAGTAAAGCACACTTCTAGTTGCACTTGGGTGGCCGATGGGGCTGCGACCTTGGAGACTCTCTGGTCCCTGGCCCCTTCCTCTCTGGCTCTGCTGCTCCCTGCTTCCTGGCCACCATAAAGTGAGCAGCTCTCCTCCACCAGACCCTTCTGCTATGATGTTTCTGC